TCTCTCTCTCTCTCTCTTCCCCTCTCCACATGCACAGAGAAAAGATCATATGAGGACACAGTAAAATGTCCATCTGTAGATCTAGAAGAAAGACTCCACCAGAATCTAACATGCTAGCCCCTTGGTTGCACTTTCAGGCCCCAAAATGTAAGGAAATCAAACTCTGTTGCTTAAGCCTCTCGGTTCGTGGTATTTTATCACGGTAGTGCAAGCAGACTAATACAGTGGGTATTCTCTAGAGTGCCTAGAGAATGTTTACATTTACCGTACAAAACATGGCTTTAAAAAAAGTCTAGAAAGGACCTTACTTGTTTCTTAGTATCATTGCCTGTCGGAACATATCACAGATCTTTCTAAAGGATATTTAAAAATTCAACACTCAACAATGAGAAGTTTATGATCTCTGCATCCAATAAAAAAAAATTAAACCTCTTAAGAAGTGGGAAAATATAAACCTTAAAACTGAAAAAAATCAGTATTAACAAGCCGACGTGGATGGGCACGGTGGTACATGCCTGTGATCCCAGCACCTGAGAGGCTGAGGCAGGAGGACTGTAGCCAGCCTGGGCTACATTGTGAGTTCAAGGCCAGCCTCATCTATATACAGTCTTCCCTTACTACATTGTGGTTCACTCATCATGGCTTCACTGTATCACTGGTTTTTAAAAAAAATATATCTAATTCTGTATGGCAGAGTTTCGCTATATCACAGAATTTTGCAATATATAGGTATTTTTATAATATTTATGATTTTAATTATTTCTGCCTAAAAATTTTAAAACAATATAAAAATGTTCATTCAAACATATTAAAAGAATATTAAATAGATTTCATCAGCAGATGAATACTGTACTGTACACAATGGAAATGCACTATGCCACTACCGCCAGCCCGAGCCTGGCAGAGCCACCAGGCATGGGAACAGACCTGCACTGGGCTGGTGCTGCTTATAGGCGGGAAGGTGTGCGGCAGGGTGAGCGGTGTGGGTCAGGGGCTGGGCTCCGCTGCAGCTGCGGCTTGGCTGGGTCCCGCGTGCCTCGCCCCTTGGTCCACTCCCGTCCTCCATCCCCACAGGCCCAGTCCTCCTCTCCTGCCCTCAAAGCTGAAATGCGGATTCACCCAGGCATCCCCAGGCGCCACCCCAGCTGGAAGCCCAGGCTTTGAGAAGAAGGGTCTCCCCTAGAAGATGTGCAAGAGTGTGGGAAGGGTTTATAAGAGTGTCGGAAGGGTTCATAAAGTCTTAAAATATATATAAATAATAAAATAAATATAATGCTGCTACTACGTGGATTTTCCCCTATCTTGGGGGGTCTCTGGACTGTAACTTCTGCAATAGGTGAGGGATCACTGTAGTGAGATCCTGTCACTGAATGACAAAAAAGACCACTGCATGACAGATATGGTGGAATTAGTGGACAAAGACTTTAAAGGAAGTATAATAAATTTTTAATTATATTTATAATATATTTAAGAACAGGAAAATTTATTGGAGAAAAGAACTGAGAAACAGGGATGGAGGAATGGGGTTCAGGGACTAGGAATAGCTCCTAAGAGACAGGAGGAGTCCAGAATGGGTTGCCTATACATATAATTTAAAAGATAGCATAAAACACAGAAGCAAATGCAAAATGTTATAAAAATAATCAAAGAAGACATCTAGAAGTGATAAACACATTACCTTAATGTTAATTTCTCTGGATGATACAGGTTAAATACTTCAGGAGGAAGTAAATTGGAAGATGTAGCAACAAAAATTCAAAATAAAGCACAGAGAAAAAATTTATTTTTTATTATAAAAAATAAAAGAAGGAAAGCATATTAACAAACAGACATCCATTTACAAAATAGCGTGAGAACAATACAAACAAAACAGAGTTACAGACAAAAGTGTAGGAAATTAACAATCATTGTTGTATTACTTATTGATATCTTCAAAGTGATTTCTCAGGAAAACAAATAGAGACATACAAGAGTGATGAAACAAGTAATCATTAACTGTTCCTTTCTGTAGAGCAAAAGAAGATAGTAGTACAACTATGTTAGCTATCCTGTATAGACATACTTACACAATTTCCCCTTCTTTCCCTTCTCTTTTCCCACACCCCAG